AAAAAAAAAAAAAAAAAAAAGAAAAGAAAAAGAAATATCTGTAATGTAATTACTAAAACATTTGATATGCACATTGTCATTTGTGAGTAATCTTCCTTCCTTCTGATTGTCAACTGTAGCTAAAAATGAAGCTGATCGTCAGGCAGAAAAACGAGAAATTAAACGTCGGCTCACTAGAAAGGTACTACTCCCTGTGTGTTCAGTTAACTATATGTGTTATATTTGGATGACCTATTTGATTGGAAATTAATTTGCAGTTAGGCACAGTGGCTTGCGCCTGTAATCCCAGCACTTTGGGAGGCCATGGCAGGAGGATTGCTTGAGCCCAGGAGTTCAAGACCAGCCTAGGGAAAACAGTGAAACCTTGTCTCTACATTTGAAAAAAAAAAAAAAAGAAAGAAAATAAAAAGAAAAAAAATGAATTTGCAGCCCAGTCAACATGGCAAGACCCCATCTCTACAAAAAAAAATTAAAAAATAGCCGGGCATGGTGGTATGTGCCTGTAATATCAGCTACTTGGGAGGCTGAGGTAGTAGGATCATTTGAGCTTGGGAGGTTGAGGCTGCAGTGAGCTGTGATTGTGCCACTGCACTCCAGCCTGGGTGACAGGGTAAGACCCTGTCTCAAAAACAAAACAAAACAAAAAATCACCAGATAACCATAATCACTGGGGGCTGGACCTCCAGGGATCAATAGTGTATAAAGCTCCCCCAGGTGATTCCAGTGAAGATGGAAGCACTGGGTTAGAGGCAATTTGAATGCATGATTGATGCCTAATTATTGGCTTAGTGAACTAAGAGGCTCCATTTCCTTCAGCTCAGTCAAAGGCCAACTGTGGCTGAACTCCTTGCCAGGAAGATTCTGAGGTTTAATGAATATGTAGAGGTAACAGATGCTCAAGATTATGACCGGCGAGCCGACAAACCTTGGACCAAACTGACCCCTGCTGATAAGGTACCTGGAAAGCGCTCTCTTGCTCTTTTTCTCTTTCTCTTTTTCTCTTTATTTGGAGGATCCAAGATGCTAACTAGAAGGGAGAACCATAAACAAAACTTTAGTTTTAATATAATATTAAATTTCAAATCACGATACAAAATGCCAAGTTGAACAAGTCAAAACGTTATACTAACTCAGTATAATGTTCTGGTAATTCCACCACCAATACTGAAAGAAAGAAAATCCCTGCTATATCAAAGTAAAAATACTGGAAGGAATACATTTTAAACAGTGGTTGTTTGGTTAGAGAGAATTTGGGCTATATATTTTAGTAATTACCCATATCTCATTTTTATAATGCTGTGAAAAACTGTAAAAGCTGGCCAGGCGTGGTGGCTTATGCCTGTAATCCTAGCACTTTGGGAGACCAAGGTGGAGGGATCCCTCGAGGTCAGGAGTTCGAGACCAGCCTGGCCAACATGGTGAAACCCCGTCTCTACTAAAAATACAAAAATTAGCCAGGTTTGTGATGGCGTGCACCTGTAATCCCAGCTACTCGGGAGGCTGAAGCAGGAGAATTGCTTGAACCCAGGAGGTGGAGGTTGCAGTGAGCCAAGATAATGCGAATGCACTCCAGCCTGGGCAGCAGAGTGAGACTCCATCTCAAAAATAAAAATTAAAGGCTGGGCGCGGTGGCTCACGCCTGTAATCCCAGCACTTCGGGAGGCCAAGGCGGGTGGATCACGAGGTCAGGAGATCGAGACCATCCTGGCTAACACGGTGAAACCCCGTCTCTACTAAAAATACGAAAAATTAGCCGGGCGTGGT